TTTTTTATTCCCCACTGCTAAATCAATTACTTGAGAAATGAACCTCTCACAAGGTTAATGAGAATCGTCAATAAAGATCCGTCGTTCCTCTTCTAGACTAAATTCGCTAAATTCGTTTGATGTAATKTGTTTCACTTATATTTTAAATATGCGTACTCATACAATGATTCTGTGTTTATTGGGGCCTAGCCCGTACTTTTAAYAAAATAAAATRAAAAATATTATCTATATCGCCAAGGACGCGTATCGTCCGCTTTAAAAYGATTTAAGTTTTTAAAGGATACGTGTAAACTGTGACTTGATGAACGCGGGGTTGAACTGAGACATTTGCGTCGCACCCCCGTCCACGTACACTATGTTGACGATGTCGTTTCCAATGTGACGTTTGCGTTCCACCTGTTCAAATTGACAAGACGACAACCATTATAATAATATTATATTATTATAACATACGGGGTGGTAGCAGTTGTGTGTACAGTGTTTGTTTTTTATAAACATATATATATATATTTTTATGTGCTTTTCTTTCACACTCGTTCACGTTTTTCGTGATATATAGGTACCTACCATAACATTATATATTATTATGTTTACCTGCTGTCGGTTGTCCTTGGAATACGGCAACATTGTGGACACGTGAAACATGATTTCGTGGCCTTCGTATATCGTGTACGCCGAATATTCGCCCGTCATGTCACCTGTGTGTAAAATAATAATTATATACAATATAATATTGTCATGGCGTATAGTAATGTAGGTAAGTACACGCTTAGAGGGAACGGTGATAGCAAACGAAAGCCGTTATAATTATTATTGTCTCCGCGGTTGAGTTAGGCGTAGGTATACAATATATTATATTATGTATAAGACTTGCGAAAAACACACTCAGTGRGGTGTTGCGCACACTTACCTTTTACGTCCAATCCTCCACGGTATTTGTCCCATCCTTTCAGTCGTACCCGATTGCCCAACAACGATACGAATTGATTGAATTCCTCGCTGCCGTTTTCTACGAAAAA